GGCAGAAGTGATTCTGAAGAGTTGGAAGAAACAATGACCTAGAAGTGAACAGTTTCTCTCATCGAAAAGAAAAAAAGACAAAAAAAGATTGCAATGTGCTGCCATCTGCTGGTTGTTTAGGATTAATAATTTAAACTAAAGATGTTGACATTGCTATCTACCAAATTACAGCATTTTTAAAAACAAATTCAGTAGAATTTTACCCCCTCCTAATTATTTTTAACATTCTTAATATAATATATAAATATTATTCTAAAGCAGTGTCTCTCAAACTTGGCAACTTTAAGACATGTGGGTTTCAACTCCTAGAATTCCTGGCTAGGGAATTAAAGTTGCCAAGTTTGAGAAACACTGTTCTAAAGGATTTCAAACTACCGCGTTCCATTATACTGGCTACTAAATGATATTATGGTTTTATTGCATGGCATATGGTATCTTTTTGTCTGATAGCAATCTTTCTCCATTCAAAAATATCAGCATAAATTGGTATTTGATATCCTCACCCACATAGTAAAGAAAAGCAATAGAAGGACTTACACATTTTCTGTACCTCATTGTACAAATGCTGAGAATCTTTGCTGTGAATACCTGGAGTGGATTCCCAACATGTAGAAGGAGGAGATGGCAGGGTGGCAGAATATCCATATTCCCAGGTGCCATGCCAAGCTTGCTGTAGAATGCTCTTTTTCAACATCTTGTGTTGCCATAAAAAAGTTTAATCTCATGGTGTTTAAATAAAAACTACGGCTCATTTTCATGTATTATTTGTTGTACATTTACTCATACATAAAAATAGAAATAAATTAGTTTGGCACTAGCAATTGTAAAAAAAAATTGTTCACTGCTTTCCCCAAACAAGCAAAACTGCAGCATTCATATAATTTTTAAAAAAGTAGTAAAATACCAACCTTTCATTTTTAGCTTCTTGCTCAACAGTACAATAGAATTCTTCAAGTGCAAGGTTCAAAATATTGTTGTTCAGTCGTTAAGTCGTGTCCGACTCTTCGTGACCCCATGAACCATATTGC